CTCAAGATTTAATCCAGGTAGTTTTGGATCAATTATCTGATGCAGGATATCAAACTACCCCCAAACTTGGTGGCTGAAAACAACCACCGTTGTTTCTCAGGATTCTGTGGTTGGCTGTGGTTCTTCTACAGGTCTTCCCTGGGCTTCTCATATGGCTGCATTCAGCTGGTGGGTCAGCTGGGAGCCAGGCTAAGTGGAGGCAAGACTGAGCTTCCTCATATACCATCTCAGGGCCACACTCCAAGAGCTCGGTGCCCCCACTGCACAAACACTTAACAAGCCTCTGCTTTCCTCCTTTACTGATGTCCCATTGGGCCATGCAAGTCACATGGCCAAGCCCATAGTCAGTGTCAGCGGGGATCACACAAGGGCATGGATGCAGGGGAGTGTGACTCATGAGTGTGGCGAGCTACCATGTATTTCCTTTCCAAATGAGAAAGGAAAGTTAAAGAAATGAAAGGACAGACCTGGGGTTAGTCAGAACCAAGGGACCCTTGTCCTAGCTTTGTGGCTTATGTGCAAGAAGAGCCAAGTTCTTACTCACCCTCAGTTTCAGTTTTCTCCTCTGAAAAACGGAAGAAAGACACTTCAGCTTCAGCTGAAAGACTTGTGATACGACACTATAAGGGCTCTCCCTTCTAAACTGAGGCCCACACAGAAGGAAACAGACTTTCCTTTGGTAGGAAGGATTAGAGTTTAAAGCCCCCTCCCAAAGTTATATAAAAGTAGTAAGACCCTGGCATAGGCTGCCAAGAAAGGCTGTGGATCTTAATAACTAGAGATCTTTGAGGACTCAAAAGAGTCCCCATCTCTCCAGGCTGATGGACAGATGACTCCTGAAGGCTCTTTTCATCTAGCAGAATCTGAGCAATCCCCATGTGCTAGTGAGAGCTGGGGCCAAGACAGGTAGCATATGGGGAACAAAGAGCTCACCCTGAACTCACCAACCCATCACCCAACATCTATTGCTGAAAACTCCTCCAGGGGAATCCTGCTCACAGAGTGAAATGGGCAGGTGTGCCTTTCCCTGTGGGGCTTGTTAGCACTTCCCGTGAAGCTGCCTGTCCCTCTGAGGTCCTCAGGGGCACGTTTGTTTGTTAAGTGATTGGCACTGACCTAGCCCTGACCCCACACCGTGGCCCTCTGGGCATCCAAAGACAAGGGCTACAGAGACTCCTGAGTTGGCCTGGCCCCAAGGGATGGGGAAGAAGTAAGATGGCTCCAAGCCCTTGGGCTGCTGGTGTCAAACCAGGGAGTCTGGTGAATGGAAGACAGGTCGCAGCTCAAGCCACACCTATAGCCTAAAAACACCCACAGATCGGGGGCCACTGAGAGATTCCTCCCTCGCCCCCAAAATAGGGCAAATTTGCTCTTTCCCCTTTTCCTTCCTTTAACCACTTATTGACCCAGTCTTTCTCCCTCAGGAAGTCCCCTTTGAGCTCAGACTGAAGGATGAGAGGAGAACACAGAACTGCAAGTGGAAAGGAGGCCGGTGCAGCCGGAGTGAATGGTCCATGCAACAGTCTTTGGGGGAGGGACCAGGGCTGATTGAAGGACGAGAAATGAGGCCTGTGTGGCTGGTGGGCAGAGGGCTTGGGGGAGTATGGGACCAGCTAGGCTGGCTATGGACCATAACAGGCCATGGAGGAAATGTTAAAGCTTTAAGTTTTTATTATAATAGCAAAGGGAAACCATTGATGTGGGAGGGTGACATGGTCACATTTGTACTCTGAAAAGGTCATCCCAGCCATCATGCAGAAACATATCGGAGAGGTCAAGGGTGGTCAAGGTGCCAAGACCATTTGAGAAGCTGTTGTGATATTCCAGAAAGAGATGATAGGTTGGCCAGGGGTGGCAAAGGTGGTGGCAAGAAACGAATACATTCAGAGACTTTTTAGCAGGTTAACTGGACGGGGCTTGTTGATGCTTTGTACAGAGACGTGAAGAAGAGAAAGGTATTAGAATGCCTCCAAAGTTGCTGATGTGGGGAACAGATGGATGGTGACTAACACGGGAAACATTGGGGAAAAACAGATGGGCAGGACCATGTAAGGTCAGCCGTGGACATCCTGAATTTGAGGTATCTTTGAGGCAGTTCAAAGAGGAGGAAGGGGACATAGTGGGTAATTGCAGCCGCTGCCATGGATGAGATGGCTTAAGGAGAGAGTAGAGCAGGAGAGGAAGAGGGCCAAAGCCCGAGCCTTGAGAAGTGAGCCTGCAAAGTAGACAGAGAAGATACCATCATAGAGTGGGGAGGAAAGCCTGGGATAGGGTGGCCGGGAAGAGTGTTTCAAAGAGGGAGGGGTCAGCAGCATTGAATGCTCCGGAGAAGCCAAGTAAGATGAGGATTGATTTGAAAACTGTCTTTTGTATTTGGTGACATGAAATCCTTGGTAGTAAGGGCTGTTTTATAGTGGAGGGAGGGACAGAGGCGAGACTCAGTTACAGGATGGATTGGGGAGTGAGTAGGAGGTGAAGAAAGGAAGACAGCTTGGCCGAGAACTTTGGTTGTGAAAGGAGAGGAGAGAGAGGGTTAGCTGGAGGCGGATGTGAGATTAAAGAATTTTTTTTTAATGAAGAGACAGCATTTGTAAATGCCAATAGGACGAACCCAGTTTGGGGGGGGCAGGCATGATGGTTGAGTCCACCTGAGGGAAAGGGCTAATGACTAGGGCAGGGGGCCTGAGAAGGAGGGAGTTGGCTCCAGGTGGAAGTTCTCCTGCGCCAGGAGGAGGGGCCACTGGGAGGAAGGCTGGGGCCCAGGCATAGGCAGGTGGGGTGACGGTTGTGGGAGATGGGGGAGGTCCATCTGATGGCCCCATTCGGTGGAATAAGAGGGGAGGGCATCGGCGGAGGTTTGGCTGTACACAGACCCTCCTCGTCCAGGCTGCCCTTAACTGCCTTCTTGATAAGGAGCGTGGTGCTAGTTGCCAAGGCCTCTGCCCTGCAAAAGGCCTCTGGGAGCAGGAAGGAGAGAGAGGCTGCCCGGGGGTAGAATTGTTGGAAGGACAGGACCAAAGTCACTTCTCTCAGAAGCAGGATCACAGTGCAAAGGGCAGAGACAGAAGGACATTTGCTCAGGAGGAAATGGCAACTGTGTACTTTGGTTTCCCTTTTTGTGTGTGGAGGGTGGAGTGGGGAGGCCAAGAGAGCAGTGGTGGCCTGAATTCCTGGTATGGAGGCGTGGGAGTGGTGGAAGGGGTCGTTCCTCTCTGGGCTTGACCCCTTGGGGGCAGAAGGGGGAGACATTCCTTAGGTGAGGAGAAAGGCTGGGGTGGGGAAGGCAACACGAGTGCCAGGGCCTCGGGGCTGAGGAGGGAGCAGCCTGCAGAGAGGAGTGGGGAGGAGGGGTCCTGGAACAGCTGGGACTCGGAACCCCCAGAGGAACCCTCATTCCACTGTGAAGGATGGTCTGATCTTCCTGGAGCCGGCCAGGTGCACACTCCAGGTAGTCCCCCTTTGCACAGCCACGGGCACCAGCGTTGTGGGCAGACCCTCTTTCTTTGGGGTCCAGTGAGCACAAGGTCCCCTGGAAACAGGAGGCCAGCCCCTGCACTGGGACCAGAGTCCTGGCAGGTGGGGGAGGGGGCTCTGGGGAGTGGGTGGGTGAAGGCGCCTTTTTAATCATTAACCTGGTTGATTGAAATCTGAACTGCTCGCCTCCAGCTCTATTGATTCTCTCTGAAAGCACAGCATCTGGGGCTGGTGGCTGCTTAGAGACCAGGGAGTAGGACAGTGGGGAGAAGTAGGGGCAGAGGGGCTGAGAGGGAAGTGGGAACCAGGCCTGGAGCGGGGGCAGGGAAGGAGGGAGGAGGAAGGGTCAGAGGGCTGGGCGACAGTGGAGAGGAGTCTCTGGGGCCCTGGGGAGGCCAGGAAGCCAGAGCGGGTGCTGGGGGAGGTGCAGTCAGCAGAGCCGCAGAGGACCACTGAGCATCCGGGAGGAGGAAAGTGAAGCCCAGAGCAGCACAGTGACCTGCCCAGGTGACAAGGTCAGAGCCTGCACCAAAGCTGGTCAGCTGACGTAACTGCACTGAGGGGAGGTGATGCAGAAACGGAGGGCCCCCAAGGTCAGGGGTGAAGCAGAGGTGTTGAGACGGCAAGTCCACGAGAGAGGGTTCACTTTACAAATAACTGTGTTTCTGAGGATGGGCGTCTTTCCTTTTTACCCATGAGGATGTAGGTAGCATCAAAAAATAGCTCTGGACTGACCAAGGAGGGTCAGGCCATCTCAGGGTGAAGGAGGGCCGGCGTAGAAGAGGTGTAGAAGGAGCCGCACAGCAAGGAACAGCAAGATGACACCTGTCCGGATTCATTTAGCCAAAACCAGGGCCCTGGCAGGATGGCTTTTCACCAGGACCTCATACGGGGCTTCTGGCTCCCCACTCTTTCTGACAGTGGGACGCGCAGGTCTGTGTCACCTCTGAGACAGAAGGGGAGGCCTTCATGGGGAGCCACATTCTGGCAGGCAGGGTCAGAAACATGTGGGCCCCAACGTGCCATCCTGGTCCCCACAGCTCCCCTCGCCAGTGCCAGCTCCTAGAATAGCTCATCTCTGAGCTGGAGGGGGATGAGCTAGGCAGCCCGCTGGTGACGTGCTTCCTAGGAGGACCAGAGAGGAGGGGAAGGGGCGAACTCTGCAGACAGACTGGGCTAGCACACAGAGTGAGTAAGGGCAGCTGACGGTGGGGAGAAATAGGAATAGAAACCACACACACACACACACACACCAGTTACATTTCTCTGATACACAGAAAATGTTTCTATTCTGCAGAGAAGACAGAAGCAAACACAAGGTTTCTGAGGCCATGATGACGATGTCACAGGACCCTGTGTTCTGTCTGTGGTCGTGGTACTAGCAGGTGCCAGCCTGTCTAGTCCTGCGTCATGAAAGCTTCACCCTGGACACTCCAAAGGGGTTGGGGAGTGAGGGTTGCAGGACGATGATGGGGGTGAGTCCAGGCCTCCTGTCCTAATGTCCTTCTCTCCCCTTTCTCTGACAGCTCAATATCCTGGTGGACACAGGCAGCAGTAACTTTGCCGTGGGGGCTGCCCCCCACCCTTTCCTGCATCGCTACTACCAGAGGCAGCTGTGAGTGCTGGGGAGGTGGCGGGGGTGCCCTTCCCAAGGATCCAGGGCCAAGGAGTGTTGGGGAGGGCTTCGGGGAGGAGGACCAGCTCCTCACATCCTTCCTTTCTGCTGGGGAAGAGGAAGGGAAAAGAAGGCAACAGTGGCCAGGAGAGAAGGGAGCTGGGGGGTCAAGGAGGTAAACTATGCAAAGGGTAGGTTGAAGGGCAGCCAGGAAGTGCTTAGTACCCAGACAGGGCAGCTTCCTGGGGGAGGGAAAGGAGGAAGGAGAGCAGCCCCAAAGCTCCCAGGGCAACCTCGGGGCTCCTTCCCTCAATCTGAGTTGGGAGGCCTCGGGACTTCATCCCACCCGCTCCGTGGTGCTCCATTTTCTGACATGACCACCTAAGTCTAGGCTGAGAAGGCTGCAGCGACAGCCCCTTCGCTGTGTTCACGCCCAGGGGCTACTCTCAGTGACTCTGCACGGTTCAAGGAAAAGAAGGAAGAGTCGTCCAAAGCCCCACTGCCTGGTATCAGGGACTGAACGCTAAATGCCTCCTTGCCCCTCCCAGAGGGGCAGCTGGACTTACCCAATGGGTGGGAGAGAGGGTGGAAGTGGGTTTTTAAGGTAAGAGAGGCAGTGAGGGATGACCTGGGAGCCCTTTTAACAGAAAAACAGGAAGTGGAGAGAAGCCATCTAATATCTGAAGCGTATCTGTGTGTGAAAACATGCGGGTAGAGGCTGACATCCCATTCTTGGACTTCTAGGCGGATGCCAAGGCCACCTTCTTGCTCCTTCCCCTTTAACTTCCCTATCTAAAGAAAGCAGTCAGGGTGTGGGGCACGGTCAGGGTCAATGAAAGGGAATGCGTTCCAGCGCCCTGTCCCTGTCCCATCACCGCCCTGTCACATACACATGAGCCCTGGTCCATGACTCCACACAGGTAGGGATGACACACGTCAATGAGGATGTTCCATCCAGGTGGTGTGTAATGAATGCCCGTTTGCCCTGCCGAGATGCTTGTGCAAACCCTCTCTTTGGAAGAATTTGCTGAAGTTGCCCCGCCTGGTACTTTCTCTACCACTCAGATGGTACCACTGGGTCCCAAGACAGCAAAAGAGTCAATGGCTCCTTTTTTTCTTTGGGAGCATGATAAGGCTGGGGGCGGGGGGAAGTAGGGGGAGGAAGAGGTGCCCGCTAGCTGTCCCTTCAGCACCAGCAGGCACAATACACAAAGCCTAGGCTTGTTCTTCGTAGGGCCAGAGCTCCAGACCTAGGAATACAAGCTGCGGGCACAGGAGAGCGAGCCCCTGTCTGCAAGGTCACCTGACATTCTGTTCTGGTAAAGGATCCTAAGGGTGTTCTGTTGAGCGGCCTGACAGCATCTTATCTTACGCAGACGCCCCTGAAATGAGATTAGGCCTCTGGGAGTATGTTAGATGACAGATCCCTGTGCCAGTTGTGGTTATGCACCCACACTCTCTGCCTCCTTTCCGCAGGTCCAGCACGTACCGGGACCTCCGGAAGGGCGTGTACGTGCCCTACACCCAGGGCAAGTGGGAGGGGGAGCTGGGCACTGACCTGGTGAGCATCCCTCATGGCCCCAACGTCACTGTGCGTGCCAACATCGCTGCCATCACTGAATCAGACAAGTTCTTCATCAATGGCTCCAACTGGGAGGGCATCCTGGGGCTGGCCTATGCTGAGATTGCCAGGGTGAGAGGAACAAGGCCTAGCCCTGGGCTCTGTCTGCACATTGCACACTGCATGCTATACAGGAATGGAGCCGGGAGAGACAAGGGGAGGGACCTGAATAAAGGAAGGAAACAAATCAGCTTAAAGAGTTACTTTACAGGGGCACTGGGTGGCAGTCGTAATTTCATCCCTATAGAAGGGAGGGTATAGCTCAGTGGTAGAGCACATGCTAAGGACTCGCGAGGTCCTGGGTTCAATACCAAGTACCTCCATAAAAAAAGTTAATAAATAAATGTAATTGTCTCCCCCACCAAAAAAACAAAGAAAGAAAAGTGAAAAAATAAAGTATGTGGTAAAATGTGACTTTCATCCCTATAGAGGGCAGAAGTGTGGTGAGAGACACTGTGATAGGCAGAGGAATAGGCTGTTTTTTCTATTGACTCTACGACTTTAAAAGAAAAAGACAAAAAATAATAATAATAAAAGCAGCCCCATAAATCTGAAACAGGTTAAGCAGACAGGGCGCAGCGATCTTACAGATCTTTCCTGTCTGTGCTGCCCATGTGTCTTGCTCTCCCAGTCTCCACCAGGTCTCAGTACATCAAGATGGTCTTGCCCAAGGAACATCCCCCAAGTTTTGCTCTTGCCCTCCAGTTCAGGCAGGAAGCCCCTTCCATTAGGGCCTTCCATGCGAAGATTCATTCCTTCTCTCTTCCTGTCATAGCCTGATGACTCCCTGGAGCCATTCTTCGACTCCCTGGTAAAACAGACCCACGTGCCCAACCTCTTCTCCCTGCAGCTCTGCGGCGCTGGCTTCCCCCTCAACCAGTCAGAAGTGCTGGCCTCGGTTGGAGGGAGCATGGTGAGTAGGTCCCAGGAGAGGGGAGGTCCCGGCACTGTGCAGAGGAGTACCTTCTGAGTCCCCACCCTCTAAGGCTACACCACAGCCGTGGGCACCTCTTGAGAATCAAGAGAAACCTCTTTATACTCTGCACCTCCCCTCTTCATTTTCTGTCCTTTTCTTCCTTGCATGATTCCAGAAAGGCTTTGAGGCACCTATGGTAAACTTGGAAAGCACGAGAGATGTTTAGGAAAACTTCAAAAGAAGTGAAAAGAAGGCCTCTCAAATCAAGATTATTCAGTCTGATGATCAGTAGGCAGAGATGGAAGGAGTTTAAAAGCCTATTTATTAATTAATTAGGACAACTGGTGAATGGTTCTCTATCTCCAACATGCAGAGGAAATAAAACTTATAATAGAAGCAATTATCATTCACTCAACATTTATTGTGCCAGTTTAGGTTTAAATAACTTTACATCAAGGGCTGTGGGATTCTGAAACAAGTAATTAAAAATCCTGGAAAGCCTCCTTCCCTGAACACATCCTTAACATATTTAAGAAAGTATAAATCGCTTCAGACTATGATTTGATTAGAGGCAGGGATTCAAGAAAAGTGACCTGCAGAGGGCCTTGCTACCCCAGAAATGACTGGTCCTCTTGCTTGCCCTCTGAGTGACTTGCTGTCCTTCTGTGTCGGGTCACGGGTACTGCCGCCTTGTCTCCCTAGATCATCGGGGGTATCGACCACTCGCTGTACACAGGCAGCCTCTGGTACACACCCATCCGGCGGGAGTGGTACTACGAGGTGATCATTGTGCGGGTGGAGATCAACGGACAGGATCTGAAAATGGACTGCAAGGAGGTAATAAAACCAAGGGGGAAGCAGGGAGAGGTAAGGGGGAGGCCACACAGCACAAGGCCAGACCCTGAGTTTTGAGGCTGGGAGAATGAGGCAGGGGTGCAGGACCTGCAGAAGGGCTGGAGGCTGAGCCTGGAACAGTCAGGAGCCTAACAGTCGCACAGCGGGACCTGAGGTCTGGGGCTAGGAACTGGCGGGCACTTGGTCTGGGGCTGCGTGGCTTGCGGTCTGGTAAGGAGAAAAGCACCCCTGGACGCCAGTTACCGCCTTGCTTGACGACCTTAGGCAAGTCATCCTCGAGGCAGTGTGACATGAGAAGAGTCTGGCTTTGGAGTCAGAAAGACCTGGGTTTCCAGCTCTGCCATTTACTAGCCCTGTGCCCTCAGGCAAGTTACTATCTTGTGTTTCAGTTTCCTCATCTGCAAAACAGAAGTAAAAACAGCTTTTTCCAAGAAAATGAGTACAGCGTGTATCCAGGTGCCTGAAACACAGCAATACCCAGTACACGGCAGCTAAACCATCTGGGTCTTCCTTACCTAGATTCTTAATGTATGTTAAATTAGAACAGATATAAATGTACTATGAAAAGCTGAAAGCATTATACAAGATATGTTTACTTTCAAGATTTGGAGCACGTCTTCCCACCTAAGATATTAAGAGTTAATGTTTACTGAATGCTTCCTATGCACGGGGCACAGTTCTAAGCACTTCAAATATATTAATTTATTTAATACTTTATAATAACTCTTCGAGGTAGGTACTATTATCCTCACTTTAAAGATGAGGAAACTGAGGCACAGATGTTAGGTAACTCGCCCAAGGATATGCACCTAAGAAGTGGCTAAGCCAGGATGCCTACCCAGGAAGGACCCTAAGCAGTCAGACGCACCCCTCCAATTCTGGCCAGAGCCTGGCTTCTAAAAGGTTTTCGATCCTCTAACCCTGTCTTCGCCCTCAGTACAACTACGACAAGAGCATCGTTGACAGTGGTACCACCAACCTTCGTCTGCCCAAGAAAGTGTTTGAAGCTGCTGTCAAGTCCATCAAGGCTGCCTCCTCGGTCAGTGGGACTAAGAACAAGGGTACAGATGACACAGTGTCACAGGAAGTCTGTGAGAGTCACATTCTTCAACAAGAGCCAAGATACCTACACTTAGATCCTCCTACTTAGATCTCTAAAAAATGGTTCTCTGCTCTGGACCTCAGTTTGCTTAGCACACAATCCCCCTGGTCCAAAGTTCCGGCCTTATGCTCCCACTCTCTTCCTCTAATCCTCGGGTTTTGGTTTACTTCTCCCCAGTTTGGATATTTCATGGAAAAGCAAGTAAGGGGCCCAGTAAGTTATTTCAAAATGGGAGCAGCAAGATGGTGAAAGAGGCTGTTTCCTCATTGTTATCCTTTTCTTGCCAACACAGACGGAGAAGTTTCCAGACGGTTTCTGGCTAGGGGAACAGCTGGTGTGCTGGCAAGCAGGCACCACCCCTTGGAACATTTTCCCAGTCATCTCCCTCTACCTCATGGGGGAGGTCACCAATCAGTCCTTCCGCATCACCATCCTTCCACAGGTATGTCCCCGGCCTTAATCAATGGGATCCCAGGAAGAGAACAAAGTATATATTGGGATATAGTGAACAGGCATGCTTCCCAGGACTCGGAAGACAAAATAGATGAGGGTCCAGTGGTAAAGGGCTCTTGGAAAAAAGTCAACCCCTCAGAGCTCAGGGACGACGAAGAGAAGTGCAGCCTAAGGGCATCAATACCTAGAAGGCAGAGATGGGGTGAAGGATGAAGACATACTTTCTTACTCTTTGACTGCTTATCCTTAGCAATACCTGCGGCCAGTGGAAGACGTGGCCACGTCCCAAGACGACTGTTACAAGTTCGCCATCTCCCAGTCATCCACAGGCACTGTCATGGGAGCTGTCATCATGGAGGGCTTCTACGTTGTCTTTGATCGGGCCCGGAAACGAATCGGCTTTGCCGTCAGTGCTTGCCACGGTGAGAGCACTGGGGATGAGGGGGTGGGGTCTGTCTGTCCACGTTCACCCCGGCCAGCGGTTAGGGTAACCGGGCCCATGTCAGTCTTGGAGACAGTAACAGTTGCCTCAAGCCGGAGTCCACATGTCGTGTAAAAGCTAGTGTCCATGCGTGTGCTTTCCTGGTCTCGCCCGGCGTGGGGAGCCCTGCCTGGACTGGCAACCTCTGTGGGAGATCCAGAGCAGCAAGAGCTGCCGCGGCACTTTGGGAAGCTCTGGATCCAAGGGCAGCAGGCTGAGCCTAACGGACCCTGCCAGCTGCTGCACGCTGGGCCTGAACGCTGCTGCCAGGGTCTGGCAACTGAGTTTCAGCAGCAGCAGGTGAGTTTACTAGGTTTACGTGGGGCTGGCTTTTTGGTCACCTCAGAAGGACTGACTTTGAGGTATTACTCCTACTGGATGGGTATACTAGAAAGGGTTGTTGCCCCAGTGGCCTGGGAGGAGAGCCTCCACCTAGCAGTGGCTTCCTGTCCTGCTCCCAAATGTCTCCAAGGAGGGAGATTCTACAGCCACCTCAAGGGCTGGTTGCAAGGCCTATCGGGAAGTCCTTTTCGGTGTATGATCCAAACTGCTCTGTGACACTGAGAGCTGCCCATTCACATTTGCCCTTTCTCCAGTGCACGATGAGTTCAGGACAGCGGCGGTGGAAGGCCCTTTTGTCACCCCGGACATGGAAGACTGTGGCTACAACATCCCACAAACAGACGAGTCGACCCTCATGACCATAGCCTATGTCATGGCTGCCATCTGCGCCCTCTTCATGCTGCCGCTCTGCCTCATGGTGTGTCAGTGGCGCTGCCTCCGCTGCCTGCGCCATCAGCACGATGACTTTGCTGACGACATCTCCCTGCTGAAGTGAGGTGGCCCATGGGCAGAAAAGAGAGATTCCCCTGGACCACATCTGGTGGTTCCCTTTGGTCACAAGGAGGAGACACAGATGGCACCTGTGGCCAGAGCACCTCAAGACCCTCACCCACCCACCACATGCCTCTGCCTTGACAGGAAAGAAGGAAGAGCTGGCAAGGTGGGTTACAGGGGTTGCCCCTGTAGGAAACAGGAGAGGGGAGAAAGAAGCGCTCTGGTGGCAGGAATACACTTGGTCACCTCAAACCTGGGAAATTCTGCTGCTTGAAACTTCGATCCTACACCTTTGCCCACCATCCCTTTAGAGTCTCCAATCCAACGTATTCTTTTCTTAGTTCCAGGAATAGTGGCATCGCACCCAGGTGACCCCAGTGTGTGTCTCTGCAGTGCCCTGGCAGAGAAAGAACCAGTCGTGTTCCCCTGCTGGCCAGTTGGCCGGAACGGGTGCATAGTTCGCCATTTGCTTTAGAGATAGGGGCTCTACAGACAAGCCTGACATTGGTGCAGAGATGCCTCTTGAATTAAAAAAAAAATTAAAAAATGTGTACAAATGGAGGTGGTTGGAGGAGGAGGAAAGGGAGTGCAAAGACAGGAAACAGCTGGGATCAGAGCTAGGAAAGGCAGCAACATGACCGCTCACCAGTCCCCGTTTTAGACTGCATCTCCAAGATAGAATCCCATCTTCTAAGAGGGGTGTTGCTTCCCACTGTCTCTTTTCTGTGGTTGCAGCCGGACCAAAAGTGCGATGGGAAGAAGGGCTTCTCCAGCCAAAAAGCTCTTTCTAGCTCTCTTAAGTGAAAAGCGCCCCCCAAAAGGCCCAAAAGTTTCCATCTAACAAATAAATTTCTACCTTATTAATTCCTGGTCTCCATCTGAACCCTCTACTCTACACGTGACAGGCAGCACTGAAACACCCCGGACCCCAGAAGCCCCAGGTGCCCTATGGGAAAGCAGCTGGAATAGAGCACATACAGCAGGGCTGCGCTCTGTCTTCCTGGCTACGTGTTCACCCCTCCCCCAAGCCCCTACTCCTCTGGAGCTTTGCAGCTGAGGTGCTAAGAAGAATAGACAGGAGACCTCTCCTATCTAATCCTTAGAATCAGAATCCTGAAGATTCATTCAACAGGTGCCCTATACCCTGCCTGGATTTCTTCCTGTTCAGCTGTAAGTAATAGTAAGATCTTGACATAATACAGAGCAGTTTCATTGCCTTCTCACCCTAAGTTCCCCTGCATTTATTTGGCTAAGGCATCCCACAGTGGCACTAGTATTATACCAGGAGTGTCAGGAACACAGGGCCTTTTGGCTCTAGCATCATCACCTTCAGTATCAAGGCTGCGTGGAGCAAGGATGGCAGCTTCAGGGATTATTTCCTTCACCTCAAGAACCTCTTGAGGGAGGTTATCCTTTGCCCCTATCCTGCTCTCTACTCCCTGCTTCTAATAGTACTCGGGTACCCAGGCTGGTTCTTGGGCTAGACAGTGAGGACCAAGTTCATTTCCTCCCTATCGATTCTAACCCAGCCGCCTATGATAAACCAGTGTTAGTGGGAAGAGCTGAATTTTCTTACTGTACCACTGGATCCCATTCCTAGCTGCTCAACACACCACTTCCAGGTATGGGACCTGCAGAGTGTGGAGTTACCTGATGAGGGAGAGGGAACTACAAGGAGGGCCTCTGGAGACCCTGGCCTCAGCCAGCTGCCCACAAGCCATAAACCAATAAAACAAGAATACTGAGTCACAGTTCTTCTTTTTTCAAATCTGAGTCTTCATTCCCACTGCACTTGGTGCTGCTTCGGCTGACTGGGAACACCCCATAACCACAAAGACTGACCGGAAGACTGGGGGCCATCCACTTCCAGCTCGGAACTTACTGTGTAAATAAACTTCCAGAATTGCTACCGTGAAATGAAGATGCCATATTCTGCTTTAGAATTTCGACCTATGTTGGGGAAAACTGGCTTTTCCCCAGCTCTTTCCAGGGCATAAAACTCAACCCCTTCATTAGTAAGTCTCATCATCCAACTTTTTTTCTTTAAAAGAGAAAACTTGTACTTACTTTCTTTTTACGGTTTTTCTTCCCTTCTACCCTGAAATCATGAACTCTTAAGCATAAATAGAATCTTGACCACAGTTTCTTGCTTGTAAAAATATGTATTATATATTTCTATTTTTAAATTCTACTCCAGAAAAATGACAGTCCCATCTCCACTCTGCATCAGGGGCCGTTCCCATGGGTCTGCACGGCTTTTACCAGTGCAAGCAGTGGACAGAGGGAGAAGGGAGGACCAGGGCGGCCAAAACTTAAGTGTTGCTCTTGGACTGACCCTGAACAAGAAAGAGAAAAGAGTGCCGACAAGGCCCGGCTCCCGTGCACACCCTCCACCACACAGTCCTGCGGCCGCTGGCTTTCCAGGGCCTCTCACTAGGAAGCAGTTAAGGCCCCCCTATTCCCTGGGTTTTTCTCTTTACTTCTTTGGTGTCAAAGATTTGTGGAAAAAGAAACAGAATATTCTTTACACCCATTTCTAATTTCTAAATTTTCATCGGATACTGAAAAATACTACAGGTGGCCCAAAGGCTGCTGCAAAGTTGAGGGGAGGTAAAAATCTGAAGAGTACAAGATAAAAAATGAATCCCCCCACCTCAGATGAAAAGAACAAAAGAAGTGGTCTTCCATTTTGCCACATTCCCTGTTCATGACAACTACCAAACTGGAGACATTAATATTTCATTAACCAAAGAAAGTGGGTTGTCTGACCTCTACAGTGGGGAGTACTCAGGCCATTTTAATCACCCTACAAGATGCCAAGGGGACCCCAGGAAGTCCAGCTCCTCATACTGGTACCAGTCAATAAACCTGAGCAAGTAAGACAAGAGAAGACAGAGTATGTTCATGAGCTGATAGGCAAGGATGAAAGACAAAGGAAAAGGGTAACAAAAGCAGAGAGGAGAGAATCATTTGGATCTGAAAGGAAAAGTCTCTGTTACACTGACATGTACTGCTATTTCCCAGGTCCCAGAATGGGAAAAATTCAGCTGTTGGTAATATAATAATATCTTTCCCCTGGAGCTAGTTTTTAAAAGTTAATGCTTAATTTGTAATTGTTTAATTCCAAAAGAGAAGAGAGCTGAAGCCATTTCCTTTAGGAATAAAGATAAAAGGATAGGAAAACATTCAAAGTTCTAATAGAAACACAGTTTTCCTAGGTATCAGACTAGAAACTGGAAGTGCTCAATAAGCAGAGGTGGAAAAATGATCCGGTTCCAGACAGCTATCCATTGAACAAATGGCTTATGAACTGGAAATCCAGACTTCCCTCTTCATGTCATTTTGGTCTCCATTTTTCCCAGGACAGAAAAGATGTCCCCATAGCGTTCTTGCTTCAAAAATTCAAACTCGTATCTCAAGATCATTCTGAAAGTAATTTTGCACAGACATCTCCTCACCCCAGTGCCTGCCTGGAGCTCACCCAAGGTCACCAAACCGCTTGGTGTGAACCAACTGCCTTAACCTTCAGGGGGGGAGGGGGATAGCTAGACTCAGAGACCGGAAGTGAAGGGGAAGAGGTGGGGACTTCACGATGTTGGTCTGTCCAAGCTTGATCAGAAGCCAAGTCACTGGTGGAAAGGATGGCTTGGCCCAGGAAAGACCTGTGAGCTGTGCTAGTTTCTAAAGAGATGACTATCCAGGAAGTAGGGTGCACAGAAGTTTGTGGGAAGCATTGGGGAAATGGGACCTGGTTATGTTGTTACTCTTGGACTGTGAATTTTGCTGACGTCAAACAGAATATTCTGTAAACCTACTGTCTATGTACAGATAATGAGTGTTAACACAGTAAAATATTCAATGAAAAGTCAAACTATTAGGGTTACATTTTTTTTCCTCAATCAATCTCATTTTATCCATTCGGAGTAGAGGGGCTAGAACAACACACTGAGGCTTCCGGAGGCTTTCAGTAAGCAAGGCATCTGGTTGGACAGCAGGTGAGCACCAGGGTTCAAATCTGCATACATGAGCCTTAAGAAAATGGACTAGAGGCTGAGCCAAATCAAAGCAGGATGGCCTTAAAGCAATAGCAGTTTCCTAGATGGTTTTTATATTGTGTTTGAAAACAGCCCTAGGCAAGAATATCATAATTTCAAGGCCAAACTAAACATCATCTTACCTACAATCTGCTTCCCCTGAAGGAACTGCAGGGTGAGGGGGACAGACCATTTCTGCATAATATACATACTTTCATTTACGAACATATGAATACAGACTTTCTATACACACATCACCTATATAATAAAAATGTACATGGCATGAGTATATGTCATTGTATAAATATAGAGGTTTAGAAATCTTGAACCCGTGCTTCCTGTTCACATCAGTTTCTCCTCTTCTTCCTCCCCAGTCAGGTCCATCATTTAAGAGTTGGACAAAAGGGACAAGTGTCATTTGTGTTGGTCTGGGCCCAGAATTTGATACACTGGAAAGAAAGAAAGACATACCTCAGGATGATCTGGAAAGATGGAGAGGAGGCGAAGAGAGTGCCGTTAAGGTTCGACAGGTCTAAGGAACGTTTACTAAGTCAGAACAGCTCCCTGTGGGGGACCAGACAGGCTGTTTCGTCGGCTCTTACCTCCCAGAGAGCCTTTAGAGCAGGTGAACCTGTTCTTTTTACAGGGAATGTTAAAAATCAGCTAGCAAGTGTAGGAAGCTGCTTTTTGTTGACTATCTAGGCTTGCTCCACTTTATGATCCACTTAGGCTGAGATGGGTTTCCACCTCTTAAAACCCATCAACTTCGAATCTTATTCAGGATTTTCCCTTACCAAAAGTTTCAATGTAAATTCAATTTCTCCCTCTTAGAAAAACAAAATGAACAAAATAGGTAAAAAAGAAATCATCCCTGCTGCTAAGAGATTTCTCTCTGTCTGGTAACATAATGAGAGAGGAATAACTTGTCAGTTTGTGAAGATCATCTCTAATAGGCAAGCCTTCACACTATTCTGTTAATAGAGGTACTAATCTCATATTCAGGTTCCCTGTTCCATTCTTCTCATCTAAGCAAACTCTCCTGGCAATGGGACATCTGAAACAATGGATAGCTATGTATACCTTACTGTCAATCTTCCAAGACAGTGACTATCAGTGTTCTAGTCTGTACTGTTTATACAGCCCAGTCCCCTACAGGGGATGGGGTAGAAGGAAGGTGGGAGATCCTAGCTGCCGGTATTCTGAATGCTGCTGGTGTAGAAGCCACAATTTACTGAAAGCCTTATGCTCATGTTTAGACATTAATGACGAGCATCAACACTACAAAGTGTTCAAGAAAATTAAATCATCTCAGCTGTCTAAAAGCCAGAGTGGAAAATGAGGAAGGTATGTAGCACCCACCTCCTTGTGTAGCACGTGGGTACATGCCATTGGATGCAGCTCGCTGGGCTGGACAAGTTTCTGGCACATTAGACACAGCTTACAGGTAGCTGGAGCCTGCAGAGCAGAGGCGGGACCATCAAAAGAGTAAGGAACCTCTGATCTCCTTGCCTTTTATGCCCATGATTCCATCTACTATTTCCATGCAGCAACAAGATTTTACAAAAGAAAGAAAAATTCAAATACAGAGCTCTTGCATTTTCCCAGATGGGGCTGTCAACAAACCCAGCTGCTGAGATGATGGCTCCTTCCTGCACTCCACCTATAAACCCACTCCCTCCTCACCCCCAGCAAAGAAAAGAGTCTTACATGTGAAGACCTCCCAGGATATGAAACTTGGGCAGAAGGCAAGAACATTGGGGTACTGATTTGGGCCAACGGAGCAGGGAACAAGGCCCGGATCCGACCAAGTGGCTGTGGGCAGAAACGTTGTCAGAGTGAGGGAAGAACGTCTGAGTAACAGAGCGTTTAACAAAAAGAAATCATTTATTTCCCAGCCTAGCAGAGGAAGAAAGCAGGTTAGATACCCCTGGCTGCAGTGCTGCTTCCCACCCCCGACTGCTCTGAAACGCGCCTCTTTCCCGACACCTCAGCAGGTCTGAGTCCCCCGCCAGCTCTTCTCACCTGGGCACTGGCTGCCGCTCGCTCGTGCTCGGCCAGTCGCGCAGCTACCAGCTGGATCAGTTCCTCCATGGTCAGACCTGCCATGGTGGTACGTGCTGTCTTGATCTGCTGAAGAATGTTGGTCATCTGGGCCCTAAGAAAGATACATGTTCAGGGGGAGAGATTCTATGCTAGACTCATGGGGAAGATCTATGAATCCTCTCCCATTTTAGCCCATAAACATTTCTCTGAAAAACATTTTTTAGTTAATTCTTAAAGATACTTACTTATTGCATTGTGGGAACCGAGTCAGCAGCTTCTCCAGAATCTTCTCCAGTTTGTCTACTGGTTGGGGCCGGGGAGTTTCACTAGAAGCCTTAACACCACCCAAGCCTGGGGGAGGCGGGATGGAGGCGGCAGGGGGCACGTGTGGACCATGGGGGCCGACAAGGGAACCCAAGCCAGGGCTGTTTCTTCCGTGGGAGCCGGGAAGGGGAGGGGAAGGCTGGTTGGGCTGAGAAAGGGCAGGGTTCAGGATTGGGAAAGACAAGGAACGGGGATCTGCACTGGGCATGACCATGGGCATCGTGACCTGCCCAATGGAGAAGGGCATCCGAGGAGCCAGAGAGGGATTGGGCTGAAACACCTGAAGCATGAAGTCTGTCTGCAGAGGGGAAAAGGCAGAAGACAAGAGAGAAAGGAAGAAAACGAAGGTTTAGGAAACTGGGGCAGAAATCCATGAGCAACTCTTTCTTGTACCAAATAAGGATGGTCCCGATATCTTCATAAAAAGAACAAGTGAAAGACTCAAGGCTCGGCCGCCAACACAGAAAGGGAGCCTCCCCAAAGCAGCCCTGTTACCTCTGATGGGGGTGGAGGCAAAGTGGGAGTAGGGATTTGCGGAAGGCTGCTCAGCTTGGCTCCGTTCCTCACTAGCTGGATATGACTGTTAAACTGGTCCTAGAAAACGGAGAAAAGAAAGAATTATTTTTTACTGCCGAGCACAGCAAGCCTCTCTACAAAAGAGCACGATCCTGTAGCAGAAAAACAAGGGGAGTGGTAGAACAGGCCCTACACGCCAAGAAAAAGGTCCTTCCCTATTGCAGTGTTTAAGCACAGATTAACTCTGACTCAGTGATCACCCATCACTACACTTACCCGAACGTTCTTTTTCATTATCCGAACTCCATTCAGTCTTGTCTCCCACTCCTGTTTGGAACGAACTGTCTCTAGTGTTGGGGGAGTTGACCTTTCAAGAAACCAACAGTAATTTACAGAATTAAAGAAAGCCCGACTCCTAACTCTCTGAGACAGCAGGATAGCAGCTGGCTAATGGGCCTGGAGTGAAGAGGCTGGAGAAGGTGCAGGAGAAGGCCAAGGTTCTAAGTTGTCTGCCTCACTTAAACTCCAGCATCTTGTAAGCTAAGCATTGGAGAAAGAGGACCAACCGCAGAGAGGGTTCCTGTCTGGCTGAAAATGCCACAGGGGTCCTCCAGATTTCATGGCAGAAAGAGGAGAAATGACTGTATGAGAAACAAATCTCCAAAGACATATTTGTTACACTTGACAGCACAAGAGATACCATTTATCCAACTGGAAATAATACAATAAAAAGTACGAAACTATAAAGAAAAAACAGTAAAAGGGAAGAGTCAGAGAGTGAGGAAGTTCAGAATATGGGAAGATAACTCACTGAACAAAGTACTACCACACAGAGATGACCTCCTGTGAAGACAGAGTTAAGTGCCAAACTAGCTGGCCTAGGGTTTCAAAAACCTAAAAAGAAATCCCAAAAACCTACAAAACTGCAGGGCCATTAATACCCCTGAATTGGAAAGTACTTACTTGAGGTAAGTAAGGTGCAGTTCTGCCTCTTTTTCTGCTTCTTCTAGTTTTAGTACCAGCAACTCTTTCCGACTCTCTAGTGATAAGATCTAAGGAAACCACACACAAACACTTTATTAATTTTTACATACACAAAGCTACCTCTAGCTGGTTAAAACAATGCCTAGCGGCTCTATGGTATAATATTTAAAGAGCTCAGTGGTAATAATATGGTACCAAAAGTACACACCACCTGGAACCCCAAAATCAAGGCCTTAGACATAGCAGCTCAACTCACCTCTGCCTTCCAGGCCCGTTCCGTCTCTTCCATAATGTTCCGATTTATTTCACCATCCTGATTCTTGAGTCTATCCAGTTCCATCTCCCACACTTCTCTGTAAGATAAGAAACCAAGAACAAGACTAAGAGGAGAAAGACAAGCTTGCTAAGGGACACTGAGGCAAAAGTAAAATCCCAAATCAGTCTGCCAGGTATGTTACAGGAAGTGTTATTCTAAGCACTGACTACAGATATATACAAATAATGTTTAAAGTGGCCTGATACTTGAAAGTAAAAATATTCACATCACCATTTGCTAAGGTTGTCCAGAGCAGGAAAAAGTGGAGAATGGAGAATTGGTTTAACATTTGAAAATAAATCAATATAATTCACTGTATTAACAGAATTAAGAAGAAAAAACATTTGATAATTTTAATAAATGCAGAAAAAACATTTGACAAAATTAAGCATCCATTCATCTTAAGAACTCTCACAAAATTTGAAATGAAGAGAACTTCTTC